TCCACTAATCTAAGGATTTTGGCATAGTTTTTCATTTTTTTTTGGATAAAAATTGGGGGATTTTAATGATCACAGAGATATCTATATTTCTAGACTCCTGATTTCATTAAAATAGAGAGATTTGGAGCTCGATTTTGAGATTGAAGCAAGCAAGGTATGCTCAAACGTGATTTTTTTTAATTTTTTTCTTAATTTTGCAGCCTTTTTTAGAAATATAAAGAAAATATTTAATTTTTTTCTTAATTTTGCGGCCTTTTTTAAGATGATTCAAAAAATAAAAGAATGGATTTAAGAACAAAAAAAAAGAAGATTTGGAGCTCGATTTTAGGAATTTAGGGTTTCTTGAATAAAAATTGAAGAGCTGCATATTTTGTGAGAGTTTTTTCTTAATTTTTCTTTGTTTTAGGATTATTCAGCCTTTTTTTTTCTTACTTTTTCTTTGTTTTTTCTGAGATATAAGTTATGAGTTTCGTGAATTGTTATCTGAGGTTTAATCCTCATATTCCCTTTTTTTTAATTGAATCAATGGTGTTTACCTGGTTCTAGAGCTTGCAATTGCATTTGATTGTTTTTTTTTGTATTATTGATGAAAATGTGCTTCTATTCTTGTTGTTTGATGGCATCATATTATGTTGTCTGTATATATATTTGCTGATCTTCTGAAAAAAATTTCATGTTCAATTGATGGATTATGTTGTCTGCATATAATTTTCGTTTTTTTTTTTTCTTGGAGTTTTCATGAAAGGAACCTATTACCAACTGTTATACAAATGCATTGCCTTCACAATTGCAGAATCATAGACTGCTAAGTGTTTTCGTTTTTCTATTCGGTAACCTTGTACTAGACTGCTTATGATAAGTTGAGAATCATAGACTAAGGGAAGTCTCAAGTATGTTGACTTCAATACAACTGTTTTCCATCTTTCACATAGTTGTCTATGGCATGGTCCATTGGTTGTAAGAATCTTTTTTTCACCATAAAAGTCCACTAAAAAGGCTTAGAACCTTGGTGGATTGTAACTGCAACAATATCTGAAACTGCAAAAATGCCTGAGGAGTTTTGCTCTCCGATGCACATCTTTATGATGAGAGAACGAGATATTTGAAGGGAATAGAAAAACTAGCTACGTCAGATGAGAGTTGAAATAATGCAAAGGCAGCAACATAAATTTGGAAGATTTAGAAAAAAAAAAGAAAAAGGAGGAAATCTTGGAGCTGAAAATAAGAAAAATGGAGTTAGGCTTGTTCATATTATCCTTCTCCTGACCTGTCTTTTGAATTGAAAGAAATTGACTTTATCAATCAAGTCTTGGTGAACAACCTTTTAAAAAAAGGAAAAAAAATAAATACAAAGTGTATAATATTCACCCCACCACACAAAGATGTCACAATCACTTTTAGTAATTATTTTTACTTTTTAAAACTTTGAGCCTAGTCAAAGGCACAATCACTATGCTTTGGTAGCATAGTTTTGATGGTCATTTCTCACTGTTAATCTTTTGTGATTGTTTTCACAGTTAATTTTTTGAGATGACCAAAGCTTCCTTGTTATCTTGGTACTAAACAGTAATGGCATTTTTTTTTGGTCTCGAGTTACTTTGGCGAGCATCAATACTAGTCTTCATCATATATAATGTTAGGAATGCAGTCATTATTTTTTAGTGCGCAAATATGCAAGCACTTTTTGTTTTTTTCTTGACTCATATACATTTAAATTAATCTTTGTTGTGATATCGCCATGCTTACAAGGTCCCCTAGGTAGAGTGATATTCCCAATAAATATTTTTTAATAAACTTTTAGGTTCAGGACAATTTACAAAAAAATAATAAGATGAGGAGGGGAGATGAGACATGACAGTATGGCACTAAAAAAAATGACAAAGGAAGAGTTCGATGTAATTTTTATGGTAAGGAAATGGGTGGTGGTATTTATCGTCTGAAAGAACATCTTGCTTGGGTAAAAGGTAATGTCACCAGTTGTAAAGAAGTGCCAGTAGAAGTAAAACAATAAACGTTAAAATTAATTACAGAAGGAAAAGGAAAAAATGTGCAGAGAGAAAGGGATGTAGAGGAGATATGGAGGGGGTACGAAAGTCCAATAGATGAGGAAGATGACCAAAAAGCAGAATTTGAGGCATAAATGGAACGGGCTAGGATTGCCAGTCTTCAAGAGCATAATTATAGACAAATAGAAATTCAAGAGATGTATGAGAGAAGGGATGGTGCATCTAGTAGTCATCAACTTCAAGAACATGTAGTATCGGGTAGGGGAGGATGTGGGCCTTCATTGCTTAGATCCACATCTAGTAGATTAAGACGTAATTTGTCTAATCGCCTATCCTCTTATAGTCAGGCATCTACTACTCAACGACAAGAACCTATAGATATACCAACAATGACCCACGAACCCTCTGGGCTTGATCCCGACAGGCCACAATATCATCAAAACAAAATAAAATTTCGTTAGCAGGTGTATTAATAGTAAAAGGTAAAAAAGTTGATTAGAATGTTTTGGTATGCTAATGCACTATCATTTAATTCTGCGAACTCAGGCTTCTATCCAAAGATGGTAACTTCTATAGCTGAGGCAGGGCCGGGTGTTAGAGGTCCAACTGCGAAGGAGCTTGCAGGGTCACGTTTAGAAGTTGTTGTTCATGATGTCGATAAGCATATTGCACAGTTCAAAGTCTGTTGGCCAAGTACATGAGTGACCATCATAACTAACGATTGGAAGGACAAGTCGCATAGGTATCTTATCAACTTTTTAATAGGTTGCCCTAGGGGCATTATTTACCACTCTAGCATTGATTTATCAAGAAAGAGACATACTGGGAGAATGATATGTGTACACCTAGACAAAATTGTAGATGAGGTTGGGCCTGACAATGTGGTCCAAGTAGTAACTAATAATGCTGCGAACTACATAAAAGCAGGCTTGTTGCTAATGGAGAGAAGACCCAATCTTTATTGGACTCCTTGAGTTGCCCATTGTGTTAATTTGATGCTCAATGAAATAAAGAAGCTGAGGAGAGTTAAAACAATAACTGAACCTCTAGTGCGAGTGTTGAAGTTAAGTGACTCTGATGATAAACCCGCAATTGGGTTTTTGTTTAATGCAATGAGACGTGCAAGGGAAACTATATTTGAGAATAACATATGGACTGAAGAGATATTGGAGATCGTTGATCGTAGGTGGAGAGACCAACTGCACCGGAATATCCATGTAGCAGGTAATTTATGATTCATTATCGCAACTCATGATTCTTTTTCATCTCCAAGTATAGTTACCGTAATTAATAATACAACAAACCATGTCCAAGGTTCTTTCTTAATCCACAAAATTTGTACTCCAATGCCACTTTAGATGATGCAGATATCATGGAGGGGGTAAGAAACTGCATCTATAGGCTTGAGCCTGATATTGAAACTCAGATGGAGTGTATATAGCAGGTAAACCTTAATCAAAACGTGTCTGTAATAAAATTCCAATTTAAAATAATGTATTGCATTTCTATGTAGTACTAATTTATTGTATACGCATGTTGTTATTTCTAGCTTATCATGTACATGGAAAAAAATGGGGACTTTGCATACAACAATGCCCAAAAAGCAGCTGGAAAATTGCACCCAGGTTAGTTTTAAATTAAAACTTGTAATATTTTAGTACAATACTATTTTTGGTTTTTTTTTAAATCAATTTATTTTCTATAATTAAGTATTTCTATGTTTGTTTGTGTCAGCACAATGGTGGACGATACACGGAATTCGAACAAGGCAATTGCAAATGATGGCAGTTAGAATTTTGAGTCAAACATGTGCCGCCTCGGGCTGTGACAGAAACTGGAGTACATTTCAGTAGATACACGCCCCGAGACAGAATAGGTTAAAGACTCAGACGCTGCACAACTTGGTGTATGTTCATTACAATTTGAAGTTGAGAGAGAGACATATAAGGAAGACCCCCACAGACTACACGCCGATCAACCTTGATTACATCTTCCGAATGGACCTCGCCGATGAGTGGGTATCACTAAGGACCCTATTACTACATTAAGATTTTCTTAGTGCGGCAGTTGCCGATATGGATGATAATGTGGATATTGCAACATTCAATGAAATGGACATGGCAATGGACATGAATGACGATTATACACATGATGAAAATGAGGCACAGGATGATGAAGAGACAGAGGGGACAATAGAGAACAACTGGCGAGAACCAGTCATCTAGGAATGTGAAGGGGCGCAACATCATGCGGTGTCTAATGAACATAAAGATTTAATGAGATTGACTCTGGAAGAAGTCGAGGCATCGACGCGTAGAAGTTACTCGACAAGGGAGAGACGAAGTCGTAGTCGTCACCGTAACATGATTATTCATGATGATGATAATATTGAAGCTGTTGAGAGCTATAATACATAACAGGGTAGAGGTAACACAAAACAAAGTGGAGGAGAGCATGAAGGTTGGACGAGTCTAAGAGACTTTGGCCAAGGGCGTACTACGGGAAATGTTCCTGATTGGCGATGGGGCACAATTGCGGCATTACAGACTCCTCCAAGCCTTACTCAGATTTTTTGCCTTGTAAACCGGATAGTGAAACACAACAGTACTATGATCCCCCTCGCAACTCTCATACTACTAGCCATTGTTAGTTGGACTTTGTAATTTCATTAATTGGATTAATGTGTAATTATAAATTGTGTTGCATATTTCATAGTATTCAAATATTAAATTATATAAAAGTTGTTTCAATTTTTTTTATAAGATAAATATATGTAATATAATAGTATACATTTAATATAAGTTTTTCTATTTTTTAAAGTTTTTTAATTTATTTAGATATTTTTTTATCTATTTTTTTTTTAAAATCAGCTTGCCCGGTTAGTCTGGTTCTGGTCCAAACCGCCGGCAACCCTATAATCCAACCGTTGCGGTTCAATTTTACGAACTCTGACATACGACATAAATAGACTTAATAACGTGACCTCTCTCCCTCTCTCTCTTTATTTGGGCTCGATTCGTTCGCGACCTTCTTCCTTTCTCCCCAAAGCTCTCTCTCCTGCATATCAGAACGAAGTGGAGATGGTAGGGCTTGCAGTCCATCTCTTTTCATCAAGAATTTTTCCTTTAAAGACAAAAAATCGCATTTTGTTCCCTCTTTTCTCCAATTTTCTCTCCTGATTCTTACCGTCACAATTTCCTTCGTCTTTGACCTGATAATTGCAGGTTTGCTTGGCTTGCTTGTTGCCTCTTTTCCTCGTCCCCATCGTTAATGTCTTGCCATTGCTATTTTATTTCATCCTGGTAATCTCTTTTCCAGTCTCTCCAAACCTCATGGTGTTGGTTTCTGCCTTTTCTTTGAAATTATTTGGGATTTATTGCTGTGTATCCAAAACTTAGTCTCCTTTGTCTTTCTCAGGGTAAAATCTATGGTCTCTTGGGATGGGAGTACAGAAAGCCAGAGAGGGCACCCCCGGCGTGCCCTTACAAACCCCAAACCCAGAAGGATGATCAGGTAAGTGCGCTCAATGGCCTTTTTTCTTACAACATAAGTTGTCTCTCGATCACAATCTTGTTTCTATCAGATTCCTTATCTCAAGTAGTGCTATGTTAGAAATTAAGTTCATTTGTTCTTGTAGATTTCCTGGGTTGGTTGTTTCTTTGATCTTGTGTGTATTGTTACCTGTTTCTCAGCAGGACTAGTATTTTCTTCAATATTATATGAATAATTCCAATTGCACTTATGGCTTGTTGATTAATGGAAATATGGGGAGCACTGTGAATAGAAAATCTGTTAAACAATAGAAATCAATTTCTTTTGGGAAATTCTAGGGTAGTGTGTTCTGTGTTCCCTGAAATGATAATCTTTCTCTTGGAAATGGGTCCTAATGGGGAATTCCATATGTGTGACTCATAATTAGTCATATAAGGAGGGTTTGGAAGTGCCAAACCTGATGGCGCAAACATCAAGTTCCTATCTAGTAGTTTAACTACATAACGGCCATACTAGAACGCTTCTAATCCTCAGTGCTTGTGAAAGCTTTCAACAAACAGGTCTACTTTCTAACACTACAATGGTTTTTTTGAGAAGCGTTGACTGTTTTTGACATTACAATGTCCTCCATAACAGTCATCCAAGGTTCAATAACGAAGAAGGATTTGGTTGCGTTTTAGTCTTCATTGAAAAACAGTGTTCATTGCAAGATGGTCACATATAAACATGACAATCTTTTGTCTCTTAATTTTAATTCCAAAAGTGACTCATTTCATATCATAAATTTCGTGTCTTGAAGCGTTCATCATAAGTTTAATTTCTCCCAACCACATGCTGCCTCCACCCTATCATTAGACTACCGGTTGTGCTTTAGGCTCTTGAAGAAAACGTGCTACCATTATTGGTTGGTTGTTGGTGATGCCTTTGATTGCAAGAGTAGGGGTCCTTTTTGTTGGATGCAGTTTTGTACCTCTTCTTTTGGTGAAACCTTTTGCCATCCTGCAGTGGGGCACCTTTTGCCGTTGCTCTTGGGTAGCCAGTAATTTTGTGCTCAGTATTGGGTTCACAACTTTGGGAACAGCAGCAATACCACCTTACAGGGTTTCATGTTTGTCTCCCAACAATTCCATTTCTTGCCTGTATTACTGCTAGATGTTGCCTATACTTGTTCACAACCATAAGATAGTTATGCACCTTTATACCCATGCCATTGGTTCTTTTAAATACTCTTTAGTGAGCCTAGATGTGGTTTTTCCTTTAATGGAAGGGCAGGGTTCTATGAAGGGCGGTTAGCAATTCTCTGTTTGGTTCACAGGGAAATATTCTCTAATCTAAGTCTGGCTACTTAATTTCTTTTTAAATGATCCTAGATCTATGTTTTCCTTTAATGGCAGGACAGGGTTCTGTGGAAGGCACTTGGCAACTTCCTTTTTGGGTTTATAGGGACATGTTCTTTACTCTAAGTACTAGCCAAATGGTGTTGCATGTGTAAGGCTGGCTTTTGAGGTTAAGCCAATGAGTAGCTCAAGAAGGGATGACTATTGTCGCGAGCTTGTTTGCTTGAAAACAGTTTGGTCCTCATCTTTTCATTCAAGGAGGGAAAATATATTATCATGTGATGGTTCTTTTCATTCAAGTTGGGAACATACATTATCATGTGATGGTTTTCCTATTGATGATCGCTTCTAGTTTGTGCAAAGGATTGGAGCCTGTGCTGTTAAGCTTTTTTGTATGGGCTCCTCTAAGAAGCTATTTGTATATAATAAACGACTTCAATAAACACATGAATTTTTGGTCTGATCACTGTGATAATCGAAACTATAATGGCTCAAACATGGCTTACTTGAGAGGGACAAGGCACCTTGGTAACTAAATACATTAATATTGGTGTTGGAGATTGTGATGTGACTATAAGTTTGGTAAAGTTGGACTGGGTCTGGAACTTAGCACGAGCCTAGAGAGACTCAGCCTGGCAAGTCCCGAATGAGCTTTGTGTTTCCACTGAGCTGGTCAAGTTGGCCGGAGAAAATAATGTAAAAAATATGGAAAATCAAAAACAAAAGAAATAGGAAAGGTTAAAAATATTATGAAACATTTATACAATATGGAAAATAATAAAAGTGATACATACCATCTTTGTGGACATGTAAAATGTCTCTTCGTATACATGAAATTGATTGAAGAAAAGAAAAAAATGAAAATCATACTTATTTTTCTTGATAGAAATGCGAAATAAAAAAAAAAGGAGAAAAGAAAAGAAAAGAAAAGAAAAGAAAATAGTAGTTGAAATATTATCAGCTTGAGTGACATTAGTCAAAGATAAAATCATTTGTATGAATTCAAAATTGAGAAAAATGAAAGTTACCTGTTGAACCTGGTCTTCCAATCTTTTTGCTTAATGCATATCAATGCTTCAACTTTGTATTAAAGGGTCATTAATTATTGTAAGTTGAAACCCATAAACAATAATTGGGATTTGAGTCCAGATCTAGTTGACCTAGGTATTGAAATTTTTGGGCGAATGGTATTCTTTTTGCAAAATCTTGCAATTCTAAGATTTTGAGTGGTTTGTTTGTGAGAAACAAGCCATTGATTTCATAAACAACTAAAATAGAGGCTTAGGTAACAATTCCCAATTAGGATCAAGCTTCGATTGTGAAGAAAGCACAAGTTTTTTGAATTTTAGTGACACCTTAAATTTTTTTCTAGAATATGTCTATTCATTACATAGCTTAAGCGAAAATAACCCTACACACAAAATTTGGGATCGATCTGATTAAGGGTTGAAGAAAAATGAGGAAAAAAGGGTTTGGAGTTCCACACCCCTATATTCCTGAAAAAAGTGTTAGACTTAACAAGTCCTAATAAACTCAGCGAGTTTAATGGAAACTCGGTGCGTCTCTTGGAACTTGCATCTCTCAAAACTCACTCAAGTGAAGCTCTAAACCCTATGGGTTGATTTTTGGTAAGTGAAGTATGCGAAAGATAGAACATGCAATGCACGAAAAATAAAGCAGGAAAGAAATTATCGAAAAAGAATACCGGGATTCACGTGGTTCACCCCAGAAGGGCTACAACCATGGGCTCAACTAACTGAAATCCACTATACCAATGAAAGTTACATTATAGATTTTGGGATATAGAGTTACCTCTCCAACCCTCGACAAAACCCAGTTGAGCAAACCCTTTTAGACCTGCTCTCCTGACCGACACTAACACTGATCTCTCATCTCTATTCCACAGCTAAACCATTGTCCAGGAAGCGACCCATCTCTATTCCACAGCTAAACCACTGTCTAGGAAGATAACTTTGAGAGCAGCTAAGACTCTACAAGGAACCTGTTTTTCACTCTGCAGGAGGCACATCGTAGTGTTTCTCTCCATAGGAAACTCTCCTCTCTAAGGGGAGGCCTTGCCTCTCATTTATAGGGGGCCCCCGCCTCTCTCTCTAGAGGAAGCTACCTTTCCCATATGGTGACCAAATAAGACACACATATTCTTTTTTCTTTCATCCCATATATATAAGGTTAGAAATCCATACTAAATAGGAAACTTCCCGAAGATGTTACATATATCTCAAAAACTAATAAATATATTCAATAGTCTTAATCTTTTTGGATTTCTATTTCCTTTAGAAAACTTATCAATATCAATCATAATCCCACATAATATGAGATTTCTTTATGTGGGTGATTTTGGATATCACCATATCCAACAATCATATGGTGACCACATAGGGCACACATATTCTTTCCTCTTTCATCCCGTATATATAAGGTTAGGAATCCACACTAAATAGGAAATTTCCCAAAGCTGTTACATATATCTAAAAAATCAATAGATATAACTCACTCAGGTTATTACCAATGACCAAAACAACGTCGGACGGTGCTTAGGCCGCCTGGGGGGGGTGTCTCAGCGTCCTTGTGCCTAGGTGGCACCGCAGTTTTTTGGGTAGCCTAAGTGGAAAGACGGCGTTGGGAGGTGTCCTAAAAAGCTGTTTTAAGTCCAAATTAGGTGTAAAAAATGCATATTGAGGCATTTTAGTACATTTTGATGTTCAATTAATCTAAACTCCAAAGTCAAACCAAAATGTTTGAGATTTCGACAATTAATTAATACCACATTAAGAAAAATTGGAAAATATATTCCAGCATGCAAATTCAGTACTAGACCTACTAGTAGACAATATTACTGATGTACCATAATAATCATATAGTCTTAAACGCATACTTCTTATTGACTCATACTCATACTTCTTAATGACATAACACATAGTCCATAATTCATACACTCCATACCCTTAGGATAACTTCCATACCATTACCATGATTGGTCCTTGCCTACCCAAGTAGAGAGGTTTTTGAGCTCAATAGAGTGCTTAGCGTTATTGACTCTACTAGTGATGACCGAATAGAGCAAATAATGAGCTACATTCCACACCTTCCTCCTTGTTCATGGAATGAAAGAATGTAAGAAAAAAAAATCTATAGAATGATACAAGAGCAAATTGAGTTTCAACATGTACTTCCAATAGATGAGGGCTTTTTTCCATCTATTTGGCTAATAACAACCATATTACGTGGACATCAAGGCGCATGTTGGTGCCAGACCCTTTGACCTGAAAACGTAGTACGTCGATAACATGTTGTACAAGAATACAAGATTTTAATATAAAATATTATATATGTACAAATATAATGGCTTTAATGGTTTAAAAATACAGAAAACACAATTTAAAAAGCAATAACTATATATAAGATGTGACATTTTATCACATTGTGTGCAGCCCTATGAGTCCTAGGCGATCATTATGTTATAAACTTTAAGAAATTTAAACTTTATTTTCTTATTAATATATACATTCCTTGTCAATGTGGACCAATAGGCTTCTTGTATTAAGACCCTATTTATAAGGTTCATTTCCCTTTCTACTCACCCCACTTTCTAGATGTGAAATGTACAGTCCCATAGATAGGAAAGTAAAAAAAGTACATGAAAAGTTAGAAACCCACAGTTTT